CTTAGCTCAAAGATCACCTTCTCAGAGAGCTCCTCCCTGCCCACCCGTTCTCCAACTAAGGGCTCCATAATCACTTCCTGCTTGCAACCTCCACTGTACACTTCACTCTCTGGATTCACTGTGCATCTCCTTCACTGGCCCTTGTGCCCCTGGGGGAGTGCGGGCCTTTTCTGTCTTCTTTGTGCAGGATCCCTGGAGCCCAGCTCAGGGCCTTGTGCACAATAGGCACTCAGCAAACAGGCATCAAATGCCGTTGCCTTCCAGACAACCCTCTCTGGGCCAGTTCAAGAGCTGATGAAGGATTAGCCATGCTCACAGCTGCCCGCTATCTGGCCTCCTCCACGTTGGGGCCCTGTGTCAGAAATTTGCGTGTGTGGATCCTTCCTTGCATTCAGCAGAGTGTTGTTTTTTTTAATTTTTTTTTTTGAGTTGGAGTCTCACTCCGTCGCCCAGACTAGAGTGCTGTGGCCACTCCCGGCCACTGCAGCCTTGACCTGCTGGGCTCCAGCGATCCTTCCGCCTCAGCCTTGCGAGTAGCCGGAATTACAGGCACGCGCTACCACGCCCGGCTAATTTTTTGATTTATTGTAGAGATGAGGTCTCGCCAAGTTGCCCAGGCGGGTCTCGAACTCGCGGGCTCAGGCAATCCACTCACCTCCAGAGTGTTGATTTTTAAGCTGGTTGGAGTGGTAAGAGGTGTCCGTTGTGGATAGTCACAGCTGGGCAGGAGCTTTGAACTATCTAATCCCAATTTTTAAAAATCCTTATTTATTTTACTGATGCAAATCTATGGAATACCACATGAGTATTTGTTATAGGCATAGACTACACAGTGTCTATGATCAGGTCAGCGTATTCAGGGTGTCCATCACTTTGCGTGTTTACCATTTCCACAAGTTGGGAACATCTCAAGTGCTCCCTTCTAGCCATTTTGAAATACACAATACATTGCTGTTGACTACAGTCAGCCTACCATGCTATAGAATGTTAGGGATTATATCTTCCATCTAGTTGTGTGTTTGAACCCACCAACCAAGCTCTTTTTATTCCCCCTCTCTCCCTCACACCCTTCCCAGCCTGCGGTGTCTATCATTCTATTCTCTATCTTCATGAGATCAGATTTTTCTTTTCGCTCCCATATGTGAATGAGAACACATGGCACCTATCTTCCTGTGCCTGGTTTATTTCACATAACATAATGACCTCTAGTACCAACCATGTTGCTGCAAATGATGTAGTTTCATTCTTTTTTACGGCCAAAAGGTATTCCATTGTGTCTACATCCCACATTTTCTTTATTCATTCGTTCGTCGATGGCACTTAGGTTGCTGATTCTGGCTTTAAAGGTGAGAGAATTGGTCAGGCACGCAATCCCAGCACTTTGGGAGACCAAGGTGGGAGAATCGTTTGAGCCTGGGAGTTCAAGCCCAGCCTACACAACATGGGGAACGTCTTCTCTGCAAAAAAAATTAGAATCTAACCAGGTGTGGTGGCCTGCGTCTGTAGTCCCAGCTACTCGGAAGGCTGAGGCTGGAGGATCGCTTGAGCCCAGGAATTTGAGGCTGCGGTGAGCCTGATCATGCCATTGTACTCCAGCCTGGGTGACCAAGTGAGACCCGGACTTGGAAAATAGTAATAAAGATGAAAAAACTGACACCCAGAGGGCAGAAGAGACTTTCCCAGAGTCACACAGTGGACCGGGACAGAGCAGAGAATGACGTTTTCTGGGGTGTTCCTTGATGCTCCAGATGGGCCCTGCTGTAACTTTAAGAACCACGAGTAAGTGACCAGATTGTGGTTTAAATAAATGCATCAGGGATCGGCTGATCTCTCAGGAGCCCTGGGCTGGCTGTAAAGTAAAAATAAGCGGATACTTTTTTTTTTTTTTGAGTTGGAGTCTCACTCCTTCGCCCAGACTGGAGTGCAGTGGCCGCTCCCGGCCACCGCATCCTCGACCTGCTGGGCTCCGGCGATCCTTTCGCCTCAGCCTTCCAAGTATCCAGAATTACAGGCATGCGCTACCATGCCCGGCTGATTTTTTGATTTATTGTAAAGATGAGGTCTCGCTGCCCAGGCAGGTCTTGAACCCGCGGGCTCAGGCAATCCACTCACCTCAGCCTCTCAAAGCGCGGGATTACAGGCTGAGCTACCGAGTCCGGCTCGGAAAATATTAATGAGTCCGCTACTGACAAACTTCCACGAGTGGAGCATCTCACACAGTTTTGTGTCACCCCACAAGGCAGAGGTGTTCCTGTCCCATCTTACAGGTGCGGACAGTGAGGCTCAGAGAGGTGAAGCGACCTGCCCGGTCCACACAGCTACAAGCTGCAGGCCCGGGCCGGAACCGCGGGACGCTTCTCTCGCCGAACACAGAGGCAGCAGCGGCGTCAGAACCCGAGGCGCCCGAGGCGCCCGCTGGCGGGGTTCCGACTCTCCCGAG